CACATTCTACGCAACAATATATATGAGATGCATGTTCTATGCAACAATAGAGAACGAAAGGTGAATGAAGGAAAAATGAACAAAAGCGACATTCGATGGCACCTTCCAATTAGCCTCTCGAAGGAATTGAAATATATTTAAAAAGGATACACCTCATTCATGTAGACAAGTGATGAACATCGTGCGCCGAAAACACAGTTTTGAGCTTCCGTAGAGACAATCTGGACCCAACAGTGAACTTTCATTGCAACTCTTGGGAAACAAAGACACAAAACAACATCAGGACTCAGATGGAGGCCACCGGATGCTTGCCGGCCACAGGAGGAGGCTGTCGGCCACTGCAGCCTTGTCGGCCATTGATGGCAGTTTGGGGCAATTTGGGGATTTCATTTTCTAGTCTTTATGTACAAGCCACTAGGGCTCATTTCCTCACACCCACATGTCCAAAAATGCTCTCCCTCTCTCTAGATCCGAGCTTTTTACGCGTTTTCCAATGCCCCACGCGAACTTTATTCGCTAAACACTCTTGATTCTCATCCTTTTGAACAGATCAAAATTTGATTTCAATGCTTTTTTCCTCATTTTCATCTTTCTTGGCTTGTTCCCCTCGAGTTTCTCTCGAGTTTCGTGAACTTTTCCCGACTTTGACTTTTTCTTTCATTTTCTCTCTCCTAGGGTTGACTTTTTCCAAGTTTACCCTCTTTTCTCCGTTTGTCTTCACTTTTCACCCATTCCCCAGATGACAGATGATAGTCCACATGATGGGGCTCCTCCCTAGGTTCCCCTCGTATTCCCACCTATTTCAGAGGCAAATGAGCCTGTCGTTGCTGAGGCAGTTAGAGGTATTGAGGCCGACCTCGAGGCAAAGTTTGAGCCGGCCCTCAGCCGGAGCCGCTACCAGTAAGTGCACAGCCTTTTGATGTGGAGAGGTATCATCCTCGCACACATATCTTGCCACCCGGAGGCATTAGACGCTTCAGTGACTTCGCTCGAGGTGCACCAAAGGACCTTCTACTGAGGGAGTCGGCCTTCCACCTGTAAGCCAGCGCCATTGAGGTATGAACACTGTTTCTATGCATACTTGCTTGTCTTTTAAAAGCATTTCTTGCACTGTATTTCTTCTGACTATACTTCCTGACTGTAATTTCATCACCGCCTTTTATCTGGTTCATTTGTTCTATTTCCACAGGGAGAGTCTCGTGCCTTCAACGGGTATGGAGCCACAACGGCGAGAGATTCGTACAGCGAGCTCCCTGCTGGGGTTCGCGACATTATTAATGAGACGGGCTTCGGCCTCTTCTGCTCTGGCTTGACTCGGGTCATTACAAGTCTCCCTCTTCTAGGTGCACTGGTGGAGAAGTGGTGGGACACCACCAACTCCTTTCACTTTTCCACTATTGGGGGGACGACGATGACTTCCTACGACTTCACCATGATCACTGGCTTAGGAGTAGAGGGCCTTCGATATAGACATGGGGAAATAAATCAAACAAAGCAAAACACTATAAATTTCTCTTTTTAAAAGTTTTTATTCGTTAATATCTAATTTTATAAAAATTATTCACAAATTCTTTTCAATTTTTATGTGAAAATAATCTCATTAAAAAATACCGCACACGCAAAAATGTAATAATAAACATTTACATTATAGCCAACTATTTAATTATGAATAATTAATCTGCAAACACTTATAACTATGGATATATAAATACCATAAAAACAATTTGAAATTCCTACATCAATCGAAATATTAAACCACAATATCATCCCATTTTCCTAAAAAAAAAAAACATTCTATATTTTCTACATAAATAAAAATATACAAATGACTAATATTATATTTTTCATCATGCAAAATATTCATGGCACATGAAACAAGATTCAACCACTCTTGATGTATGAAAATATATTACATAATATTATGATTGGTGGAGAAGATAGGTAGGTGGAGTATTATGTTGGGTGATCAAGGAATATGAGAAGATATATTGAATGATAATTTATTAAGCAGTACAAACACAGTATTCCGAAATATTTATTAATTTCCTGAAGAATGTTAAAAATATAAATATATATACGTATATATAAATAATAAATAAAATATAAAATAATTAAAAAGTGCAGTGAGCCCCGCCCACTGCACTGATCAGCCGTCTCTCTCTTTCTCTTCTCTCTTCGTTCTCTCTCTCTCACTCTCTCTTGGTTAACAAGGAAAAATTAATACCACTACTCAACCATTTAGCAACTATATTACAGAGCCAAATAACGCAAAAATTGACATCTGATACCGACATCATCTTATCAATATCTAATATGTTGGATGTTTTTTAGGTAAACCAATGCAGACGTTTTTAGAACCTCAACAACTCAAAGAAACAACTCTACTACAGTCCACTTCATCTAGAGAGATAAGATAAGTCGTTGGTAAGGTATGTCAACATAGTGCTAATTTGGGAACACAATAAAAAGTCAAAAGATAGCGTCTAATTTATTTTGGATTATATTATCTCATATATTTTTTATACGTTTTTTCAAAAAAAAAAAAATCACAAAAAACCAAAAAACTAATTTTTAGCCATCTTCCTAAAACTTTCCATAGTCCAATTCATCCAAGTCATTTTATATTTTTTTTTTCCAATCAAAGAAATGTCCCAACTTCCCAAACACCACCTTCGGCTTTGGGAAACATATTATTTTAGTAATTGTTTTTGACTTTTTAAGTAAAATATGAGATAAAAAAAATTAATATGTTTCGACAATTTTTTAGTTTTTTACGAAAAAAAAAATGTCCAAAAATAAAGAGAAAAAGAAATCTTTGACTTTTTGATATAAATCAGAGTGATTTGAAAAGTTAGTTAAAAGCTGATTTTTGGTTTTTTTTTTTTTTACTTTTGTCCTTTTGTGTGTAAAAAATGAAAAAAAAAAATGATGTGACCCAAAATAGGTTAAAGCTAAAAATTAGCTTTTAACATCTATCATTATTGACATGCAAGCATAATTAATTTCAATGAAGATATAAAATTTATTGGATTGTTAGTTGGACACGGGGCCCCTGCCGTGTAAAGTCCCTGCCGTGCCTGCTGTGTGCCTCAAAACGGCACCGTTTTGTCACTTTTTTTTCTTTTTTTTTTTTAATTTATATGTAAGGGTTTTGTTCTTTAGTAGGATACCCATACGACGCTGCTGCCGTTTCTAACACTCAAACGAAAAGACCCTGCTGTGTTTGGAGTAGAAAAATTAGTTTTATTTTTTTTATTTTGTTTTTTATTCATTTTTGTTTTCTCTCAAACAGAGTGGATAGTATTCTCTGTCTTTGCTTCACCATCCTTCTGCCGGATTTACAGATCATTATTGTTCAACAAACTGGTATGTATATCTATATCTATATCTATATATATTATATGTATATATGTTTTATATTTTATTTTGTGTAGTGTGTTAGTGGATTCAACAAGTATAATGGTTTGATTTGTTTTCTGTAAATAGATTGAGAAACACAATTGTATATTATAAGAAAATTTCTTTGTTATGTAATTTGTTTTGTACATATTATGTATTTTTGTATAAATATTATATAATTTTTTAAGGAGTTACGATAATTTGTAATTCATAATTTTTTTTATAGCAATGTTATACATTTTTGTGGAAATATTATACATTTTTATAACAATGTTATGCATTTTTGTAATAATATTATGCATTTTATGGTCTTAAAAAAGTTTCAACAAAAAAATCTATACCATACTACATAATGCAAATTTAATTTTTTAATCATAAATTGTTATAACTCAATAAAAAATGGCATAACATTTGTGACAAAAATACGAAACATATATCAAAAATTTATATAATAATAGGGCATATGATTCACATCTTTAAGTGTGTCTGCCAAAAGATTCCCTATATTATATAATATACTAATTCTAATATAATTTTGTAATTGTATATTATAATCTACTTAAACAAAATAAATTTTCAATATTACTATACAAATTACACATCTTTTTTTCCTCTCCCCTATCCTTTTAATTAATTTACATTGTTAATTGATTTATTAGATTTCATTGAATTGTTTAATTACTTAGCATTTAAAATTAATTAATAACTTTTTTACTCAGATTCTTGTTTTGTTTAATTTTTTTTTCTTCATATTTGTTAGTGTTGAAATGGAGGATGGTATAATGGATGATGGTGGACTTGAGGGATGCATCGAAGAAATGAGAGAGTTAGCCAAGGATAAATCACCATATCTTGGTATGGAGTTTCCATCGGAAGAAGCTGCATATGAGTTTTATAATGAATACGGAAGAATTGTGGGGTTTAGTATTATAAGAGATTATTGTAACAAAAGCAAGAAAGATGGTGTTATGACTAGTAGAAAGTTTGTTTGTTGTAAGGAGGGAGAGAGGGAAAAAGATAAACGGTATACGATGATAAAAAATCCTCGAAGTGAGACAAGGACAAATTGTAATGCATTCATGCATATATCTTTTAAGCGAGACTTGTCGAAGTGGATTGTGTCAAAGTTTGATAGCAACCACAACCACCCTTTGCATCTTCCTCAATGTACTCATTTGATGCCATCTCAGAGAAAGGTATGTGATGCTCAAAGTATAAATATTGATATAGCTGATCAGACTGGAATATCTCTTAAGGCTTCACATGATCTTATTAGTGCTATAGCAGGAGGGAAGGAATTTGTAGGGTTCACACGGGAGGATTAGAAAACCTACTTACGTGGCAAAAGACAGCAAAACTTGCAGTATGGTGAAGCAGGGAGTTTGTTAAGATATTTCCAGCAGCAAGTAACAGAAAATCCATATTTTTACTATGCCATTCAGTTGGATGTAGATGAGATGATTACTAATATTTTTTGGGCTGATCATCAGATGATAACAAATTATGGGCTTTTCGGTGATACGGTGTCATTCGACACAACTTTTAGAATAAATAAGGAGTACCGCCCACTTGCTTTATTTTCTAGCTTTAACCACTTTAGAATGACAGTGATTTTTGGTGCAACATTATTGTATGATGAAACTACAGAGTCATTTGAATGGTTATTTGAAACTTTTTTGGATGCAATGTCAGGAAAAAAACCTATTAGTTTTTTTACAGACCAAGATCAAGCAATGGCTAAGGCAATTTCACAAATCATGCCTGAGGTTTTTCATAGGTTGTGCACTTTTCACCTAATGCAAAATGCTTTAAAGCATTTAGGTTACTTGTTCAAGAGTGGTTCAAAATTTAGTAGCGATTTAAAGGCTTGCATTTATGACTACAGGAATGAGCATGAATTAATTGAAGCTTGGAATTCTTTGATTGATAAATACAACTTGCAAGAGAATGAGTGGATGAAAAGAACTTGGAGAAAAAGAGAGCAATGGGCGCATGTGTATATGAAGTGGGTATTTACTGGAGGAATGCGAAGCACAAAACTTAGTGAAAGTCTAAATGGAACATTAAGGAGATATTTGAAAGGTGATCATAACATTGTTCAATTCTTTACTCATTTCAATCGGATTGTTGTAGATAAGCGGTATGAGGAAATTTCTGCAATATATGATTCTAGACAAAAGTTGTCAAGAATGAAATTAAAAAAGTCTCCCATTTTAATCCAGGTTGCGAGTTTGTACACCCCTCCTATCTTTGATTTATTTCATTATGAGTTGGATACATCCCTTTGTTGTCAAGTGAAGCAATTCCATGAGTTAGAAGGAGAAGTTAAGTGCGTGATTGGCTTGTATGGTAATGATGAAGAGTATATTGTGGAGGGTAGGGTGGAAGTTACTGGGTTAAGAGGAGAAAAAAGCTGTCGAGAAATACATTGTACTTGTAAGAAATTTGAGAACTTCAGAATTTTGTGTAGTCATGCAATCAAAGCACTTGATAGAATGAATGTTATGGAAATTCCCGAAAGGTATATATTAAGCCGATGGAGATTGGATGCAAAAGATTGTGAAATTGAAGAGAAAAATGTTGTAGTAGATGAGGATGATCCGAAATTGTTGATATTAGCACGTTATAGAGATCTTTGTCCAAGAATGGTGAAACTAGCAACTCAAGCATCTATGCACAAACCTTCCTATCAATTGGTTGATGAAGGGATTAAGGAATTGTGTGTAAAAGTAAATAATATGATGAAGGGAGTTGGAAATTTTGGTACCAAAGAATTAGATGCGGATGACCCCAACTTTGCACAAGTTAAGGGCATAAAGAAGAAAGATGTTGGACACAAAGGGAGGGGTAGATTGAAACCTTGGCATGAGATGATGAATAAGAAGACAAAAGTTATTTCACAACCAACCCGCCTTAGTAAGGTATTACTTACGTACTTTTGAAATTTCAAATGACATGCATTTATTTTTATAAATTATGTAAAGTATTGATAACTTTTTGAACTTCTTTAGACTATTGGTCAATCAAGCAACACTACAAATATTCAAAATTCATCTTCAAGCCAACCACAGGTTAGTTATTGTTTTATGTTATTTATTTATTATTTTATTTTTTTTTATATAAATTGTGTAATGTATTGATAAATTTTACAACTTATTTAGACTATTGGTCAATCAAGCAACACTACAAATATTCAAAATTCATCTTCAAGCCAACCACAGGTTAGTTATTGTTTTATGTTATTTATTTATTATTTTATTTTTTTTTATATAAATTGTGTAATGTATTGATAAATTTTACAACTTATTTAGACTATTGGTCAATCAAGCAATATCACAAATGTTCAAAATTCATCTTTAAGCCAACCACAGGTTAGCTCTTGTTTTATGTTATTTGTTTATTTTTTAGACTACGTTGTATTAGTGTATTTACTTTTCATGATGTTTAATGGAATATAGGATGTTGGGAGTCTCTATTGGCCACAATTGATAAATTATGGGTATAATCTTCTCACATGTCCTAAAAAAGTGCATTTTTTGACTTATTGGTGGGTTTGGGTTGGGTTTGATGTGATGTGTTAGAGAGGTGATATGATTTAAATAAGATGATGTGACTTAAATAAGATAGTGACTTTTTGACTTTTTGGCTTATTTAGTACATGCCAAACTAGCCCTAATTCATACTCACCAAGGTATCCACAATCACAACCTCTACCGTTTGAAGCATCACATAGTCCACAAAGTTCTCAAGTAAGTAATATATATATATATATATATGTTTGTAATGTAATTTAGTGTTGTGACAGCACAGTGCTGTCACAGCACCTGCCCCGCGTCCTCTTGTCACTGGGATGTTAAGAAACATACGTGACAGCTGCATCATTTAGTCATCTTCATTTTAGGTAGTTTTGTTTTTTACATTTTTGGTAAGTTTTCATTTTTATTTATTTACTTTATTTATTAGGGTAAATTATTGTAAATCCCCTTAAATTATAACCGATTTGCATTTTGTCCATCTGAAATTCAAAATTCAACAATCAACCATATTAAAGTATTATCTTATTACACTTAACCCCTTCCATTAGGATTTTGTTAGAGATTTTAGGTAATGTGTAAAGCACATGACATGTTGATTGAATTTATAAGGCAATAATGCTCTTATCTGGTGATTTCGTTTGAACTTTGCCACTAAGATAAAGAAAACAAAGTAAAATGAGATCACTAGATAAGGGTATTATTGTCCTAAAAAATCAATCACATGTATTATTATCTAAAAAATCAATAAGTTTGTTATACTTCACACACGACTTGATTTTGTTTAAATCTCGAGAAAGAACCCCTACTATAAGGTGTCAAGTGTAACAAGATAATAGTTCTAGATAATTAATTGTTGCATTTTGAAATTCATGAGAATAAAATGTAAATGAGTTATAGTTTAATGACCCTATTAAACTAATAGAGTGTGAAAATAACGCATGAGAATAGTCTTTGACCAAGGTTTCAAGGGCAAATAAGTGGATGTTGATAAAAGCCACACCACATTGCCTCGTTGGCAGGGATGGAGTTAGTAAGGGACCAGGGGTTCGAGTGCCTCCCGACATTTTTTTTTATTTTTTAAGTCGTACTCTATCATAGATGTTGCCATCAATCTTTGGGTATTACCCTTTAGCAACTTCAGAAGTTCTGCATTAACCAACCTCCTCTGTTGGGATAGGTCATGTGAATATCCTATCCTATGAGCAATCTCCACCATCATAGTATAGTATTCTCAATGAATTATCCAAGATTTTTTGCCATCTCTGATAGTTCAGTGGGAATCCCCTCAACAGGTCGAGCCCGTTTTTTCCCAGTTTTAGTAGAGTCAGCACGGTTGGGAACATTACCTGCAGTAGACATTGAGTAATCCGTATCACCCATGTTCATACTAAACTGTTCAATAGAAGACTGTTCTCCTACTAATGTGTTTCCATGTAACTCTTTTCTGGGCCTTTTATTGTCTGAAAATATTTTAAAAAATAACATTAGTAGGGCCTTTTTATGCTCCTCTGACGTGCAATAATGTCTGGGATATCGATATTGATATATGCTGGATGATATTGATATATGCTCCAGCTCTGTTCTGAGGGAGCTTAAAGGGAAAAATTTCTAGCGTATATGCTAGATTTCAAGGGAGCTTGAAATCTAAAATTTCTTAACTGCTGGAGTATTTTAATTTTAATATTTGTCTATATTGATATAACTGCTGGAGTATTCTATTCTATTAATGATCATAAATGTATTCCTGTGCATTTTCATGGTAGCTTCTCTTCCATGAATTTCTCTAGAAATATCAATGTTAAATTTATGAGGAATCTGCTGGAGTATTTTAATGGGTTCTTAACTGCTGCAATATTTTAATGGGTTCTTAAATTTAATGGGTTCTTAAATTTATGAGGAATCTGCTGAATTTCTCTTCCATGAATTTCTTTAATGGGTTCTTAACTGCTG